ACAGCAACCACTTCATAAACCACTACATTGCAATAGAATTTTAAAATAAAGAATTTTCATCCTACACAAGACCATTTCATTCAGTAATAGTGGGAGGTTAGATGTGTCAATTTCTGGTTCATAATTTACACTGTCATAACACTGCCACAAATTGTAAGATATATAAAAATTTGCTGTCTGATATTCATTGAGTCTTTCAATATATTGAAATAAATCCAACATATCAAGGTGAGGGAACTTGCAACCTTTATTTGCCAAAACAAAAACTAACCAACTGCTAAATAATTTTATTTAAAATAAAATTATTTTGAAGAAATGTAGGCCTATATGAATATTATTTTAGGCTTAGCTAGCGATGGGAACCAGTTAAATTGTGATATAAGATATGCAAGCCTGTGAAAAATTATGTGCAGTCCAAATTTACAATGAATAGTACAAAGGGGATTGCTGGCACAATTCTTTTACTTGATCTTATGGTATCTGGGATTTAAAAATTGAACTTTTCAGCTTTTTTTCTTGTGTCATTTGAAAGTCAAATTCAACCTGAAATGTTTTATTATGCCTTTAACATCTATTTTGGCTACTTTTCAAAACACTTGTGAAGATTATGATTTTTTTTTTTTTTAACCCTTGTCCCAGATCCAGACATTCCAATAATGAGAATTATGAGTTATTACATGTTTTAAACTATAATCCAAAATAATAATAAATTAGGCTACTTTAATTGGCCTATTTATTATTAAATATATTATTATATATACTATATATTATTATTATTTTTTCTTTTTTCTTATTATTTCTTATTATTCCCCCCCCACACACACACACACTTTTTTAAGTGTCATTAATATAATTCATATTTAAAATTGTATTTTGACAATTTAGCAAAGGTGTCTGAAATATCTAATTCGTAAAAATATTAAATAATAATAATATCAAATAATAAGCCCACTAATTACAATAACTTTTAAAGTTATTGTAACTACAACTATTATACACTAGTAACAACATAGTAACAACACTTGGGCCCTTCTGTGCCAGTTCTGGTATAATTTGATATTTTTCCTTTAAAATGAAAACTATAATTTTACTAAAACTAAAAATATACTCCACAAATCCAAAAACACTGATATATCCATTAGATCAGTTAGCCTCAAAACTGTTTCAACTGACTAAATCTCACAAACGTTGATAGATCAAATTAAAAACAGCATAGTTATTCATCAAAAGTGCTGAGATGAGATTTTGTGCCATATATGATCAAAAGAAAAAGGTGAAAAGAACATATTTATAGGCCTATTGTGCGTCAAGAAACATAGTTAGTAGGCGGATTAAAACAACTTGAGCATGTTAAAATCATCTTGGCTAAAAGTGCCCATAGCTGAAGAGAAACAATAACAAGCTGAAACTCAAAACTATGAAACCTCCGACCCTGGTGACGTAATGTAAAAAAAAAATGGTAGCGGCCTCAACAGTGAGAGGTAGTTTACACATGTTTGTTTGCTTTGATATTTTATTATTACCACTGTAACCTGGAGCACTCTCTTTGTCATAAAACAGTTGAGAAGGCTAATTGATATAGCTAGTGTTTAATTATTTTATTATTTTCATCAACAACAAAGACAAACACGGCGTTATTATAAGCGTTGTCGGTGAGCGTGATTTCACCAAGTACAACATGTTCCTGGATCAACATCCTTGTTTGATCCTGGAACAACATTCCAATCAACCAATCAGAATTGAGATATAACTTTTCAGGAAATATCTGCTTTAGGCTTGCAATCAGGGTGTCACGAATCCAGTCTATGAACTTCCGTTCACTCACCACCAGAGGTCACGCGCTCACTACATTGACTCTCACACCACACAGACTGTTACATGTCACTCCGTACTACAGTTCCCATCATCCATTGCACTGATTACACACACACAGCTGAATGCACTGATTACACACACACTCGTTCAGATCGCCGAGTATTGTTTGCGTTTATCGCTCTCTAAGTGGTAGCACTTTACGGAGCCAGTTTCCTCTCCTAGTTTAGTCTTTGTTTTACTGGTGTCTTGATTCCAGTCTGTTTATCTCATTCTGTCTGTCAGCTGCCTGCCCTGGAATTATTAGCCTGTCTTGGATTATCCCTTTCGTCTTGCCGTTCGGACTGTGTTTGCACCTTGCCTGGACTATTGCTCATGTTATCGGATTACCCCTCTTGTCAAGCCCTCTGGATACTGTTAGCCGCCGATTGACCACACCCGCTTTGGATTACTCTTGTCTTGCCCTCGATACACCTGTGTGCCATTGTCTGACCCTTGCCTGTTTTGACCATGTTTAAGAATAAAGATTTGCAAATGGATCCGCATGCCTCTCGTCTCGTCTCGTCGGCTCCGTAACACAGGTTTAGGTGCTTCTACACACTTGTTAATCAGCTATCATTTCCCACTGATTTTAGGAATAAATTATGGGTAGGGTTAGGTTTAGGGGTAGGGATTGGGCTAAATCTATATTTTTGGACAATAATGTTGATCCAGGATCATCAAAAGATGTTGATCCAGGAACATGTCTTACTTGGCTAAATCAAGCGTTGTCATAGATTAGACACAAATAATTTTTTAGGACAAACAAACTCTGATCAGTTGTTTTAGTAGGCTAATTCTGACACGGCCTGAAAGGCCTATTTTGTAATCTGCACTGTGGGCGTTATAAATGAGCTTATTATTGCGTTATTGCGTTAAATTAACATTAAACAGTTTTAACACGGAAGAACATATGGCATTATCAAAGGGAGCTTGAGGGATCAGTTTCATTTGACTGCGGCCAGGCCAGTCCTCCACTTTGAAAAACATGGTCATTCTAGCCGCCACGTTGTTTTGTGCTGCGTGCATATACTAGGCGTTACGATAATAGAGTGTAAAAACTCAGATCAAAGGAAAAGCGATCTCTGGCATTCATTTATTGAGCCAGTTTCTCTGTCAATAATGAATGAATGAATGAATGAATGAATGAATTAATTAATACATTTGAAATAATACACGTTTAAAAAACGGTCTGATAAAATGAAAATGACTTCAAATGTTGAGTAATATTAAATGTAGAATTTTCAAATAAAATGAAAATAACTTTCTGATGAGAAATAACAAAATAAAACCCATTCATGAACTTGCATATAACCATATTTATCTGTAAATTCACATAGTTATGAAAAGAAAACTCCCTGTTTCCACAAAAAAAGTTTCACTTTTGATTAACAGTACACCACTCAGTTGATAGTTGACAGTTCACTACACCAGGGTGTCACTCAGCCAGTTTCAGGATAATCTGATGTTAAAACTCCCTGTTTCCACAGACCAGTTTCAATTCAGATTGACAGTCCACTATCCCGTTGTGTCACTCAGCCAGTTTCAAGACGATCTGATGTTGCATTACATACAAAAAACCCTCCAAAAACTCATATTCTACCGGTTCTGCCTGTGATTTTGGATAGCTCCACAGACCCGTTTCAATTCAGATTGACAGTCCACCACCCCAGAGTGCCACTGGGCCAATGCCAGAACTGTCTGATGTTGCATTACAAAATAAAAGCCCTCAAAACAACTTGCATATAACCTGTATTTTCCATATTTTCAGATAGCTCTAAAAAGAAAAGTCCCTGTTTCCATAGACTATTTTCACTTCAGATTGATAGCACACCACCCCAGAGTGTCACTTATGCAATGTCAGGACTATATGATGTACAATTCCAAAATGAAAGCCCTCCAAAAACTCAAATAAATTCATTTTTTTCTGTCATTTCAGATTAGTATAAAAAAGAAACTTCTGATTTAGTCTAGTTTCCCCTCAGATTGACAGTACACTTTCTCAGTGTCACTTACACCATTTCAGTACTGTCTGATGTTGAATTCCAAAATAAGAGCCCGCCAAAACTTGTATATACACTGTTTTGTTTACACAGTCCTAAAGTAATGTAAATGATACTATGAGAAGGCCTACTATCAATCTGAAGTGAAAGTAGTCTGTGTAAACAACGAGATACTTTTTTCTACTTATCTGAATCATTAGACAGTCCTGACATTGTGTGAGTGATATTCTGCACTTGTGTGAGTGATCAGTCTGAAGTGAAAATGGTTTGTGGAAACAGAGTTTCCATTTTATACCAATCTAAACTGTTATACAAAACATCTTGTGAGTTTTTGGAAGGACTTAAATTTGTAATATTGCACCAGATAGTCCTGACATTGTGGGAGCGACAATGAGGAGGTGTACTGGTTATCTGAAGTCAAAGTGGTCTGTGGAAACAGGGAGTTTCCTTTTTAAACCAATCCAAATTGACAGACAAAGCATCTTAAATATGAGCTTTTAGAGGGCTTCTATTTTGGAATTATACATCAGATAGTCCAGATCAGAGCTGTAGAGAGAGAGAGTTGCGACAACTCCGTTCACTCCAATGGACCATTTTTTTTACAGCAATGGCGGATCGTGGAGCCGCTCAATAGTTCCCGGAAGTTACCGCTCCTACTATCAGCGCCGTAGAGATGCAGCAGAAGAGACCGCTGGGATGAACTTTTGAAAGGTATGACATTTATAGAACAAAATAGTATATTATCAGCACAGCGCAACTCTCTCTTTCCATGGCTCTGGTCCAGATATTTGCTGCGTTCACGCCATCTCGTAATTACCGTAATTTCGAGATGACAGCACGTGACGTTCTACTCGGAGCTGTTCACGTCATCGGACTCGGAATTATGCTTTTCTATGGCAACATTATCAACAGGTGCGTTCAACTTCATGCGGCGCCGCGCAGACCGATCGGCGGCTAACTTGAAGCAGTGCATGCCGGTTAGAAATTTAGTCCGACTTGAACCGGCGCCGACGTCACGTCACTGTCACGTGTGGCATCAAAGTACCGCGATAGCGTTTCGAGAGCAGCCGGCTGAGATCGGGTTTCCTTTGATCTGATGTTTTATATGATTTTACCGTAACGCCTAGTATATGCGCGCACCTCAAACAACGTGGCGGCTAGAATGGCCGTGTTTTTCAAAGTGGAGGACTGGCCTGACCGCAGTTTCATTTGTCCCGAACACTAGTCTGTCAGAATGGCTGGAGAAAAGTGTGTCTCTGATGATAAGCAGGATTCTTCTGACGACTGCGGGGAAGAGAATTGTATTTTCTGTAAAATCGCAAACAGAGACGATCCATCCACTGAGATATTGGCGGAAGTAAGTTGATCTTTATCGACTTGGTTTCTTGTTGTCTGGGTAGCTTAATTTCAAAGGTGAATTAGGTAAGTAAATTCGCTCCTCTTTCTAAATGTAACTTTATAATATTAGGCCTATAGCCTATATTTGACAGCTCTTCAAGAGTTCATTATAGTCATCATCATCCAACTTGAAGGAAGAAAGATGAACTGGGAAGGAAATATGTTAAGCAGGATTGGTTCCGTGACTTAAGCTTCGAGAACAGTTCTGTGATACGCGAAGCGCTTTATATATAGAGGACAAACTGTTCTCGATGTACTTATTTTTGTATTGACATTATTTAATGAGTCGTTTAGATGTTTTCATTCAAATGACATAAAAAATACAGCGGCAGTAGAGCTTTACTTTCACTTTTCGCTTCTTTCTGAAATAACACGATTGCCGGCTTTTATTGGAAAGGAGGAAGAGCTTTGGGGGGAAAAGCTAAATGCTATTAACTAATATGGTATATGAGTATGAAATATGAAAAAGAAGCAAATATAATAATTTTATATTCATAATAAAACACAATAATAAAACATCCTCAAAAATTGTCCTAGCTTAACTCAAAAATATCTTTGAGTCATAACTTCTGCTGTGGTTATGGCGTCATATTTAGTCATTTCACCCTCGTCATTTCTCATTAGCTAAAGTGATGTTACTCATCCAGTAAGTAAAAACAAATTGGCACACTGCCACTACTGCTCTCAAAAGTTAATTAAAACCACAACGTTTCGACCCTAAGGTCTTCGTCAGGCAAAACGGAAAAAAAAAATGTTTGTTTATTGACTGTGAAGGGTTTCATATGATCGAGCACCTGCCCAAAGTTTTTGGATGTGCGCAAATGACACTCTCTTCACTCATCCAGTATGTCCCCTGTATAAATACAGTGGGGTCCTTAGATACACATTATAAAGTCATTTACTTCATGAAGTGTGTTACTTTGAACTATTACAAAACAAATTCATAATGTTTCCCCTCAGTTTTCTGTAACATACAATAATAATCAATGATAATTATAATTAGTATCTTATAGTGTTAATGCCAAGGTAAATAAAAATGTAATGCGCAATTATTATTATTATTATTTTTCTTTTTTACAGGATGAGGACATTGTTTGTTTCCAGGACATTGATCCAGGTGCACCTCATCACTACCTGGTTATACCAAAGAATCATATCCATAGCTGTTTGTCACTCAAAAGAGATGATATAAATCTTGGTAAGACTATGTCTCTTTTGGATGTGCATTTGATTATTAAATTGTGTATTACTGTTTTGTGAATGGCTTTTGTATTTCTAGCCAGCAGAAGGTAGAAACACAGAGAAATTAAGTATTGAGCTCTGGTTTATTTTGCTTATTGTTAGACTGATTATATATTGACAATACAATTACAATACAATTAACAAGCAATGCCATACTGATGACAGGGCTGATGTGATTTTATCGAAAACAAGTATTTTAATAAGATACAGTGATTAAATGGGATTTTCAATAATCTAAATGTTATTATCCTGAGCAGTGAAGAAGATGGCAGATATGGGAAGAGAGGTACTGAAAGCCAAGAATGTCACAAATTTGGAAGACATCAGGTTTGAAGACAACACTACTGTCATATTAATCAAGCATTTATTTGGATGAAGCAGTTATTAAATGAGAACATGACTGTATTTCAGTCTAGGTTTCCATGTGCCTCCATATATCACTGTCCCCCACCTGCACCTCCATGTTCTAGCACCTTTTAGTCAGCTGTTTAAATGGGCAATATGCAAGTACACATCCTTCTGGTACCTCACTGTGAGTAAACTAAAGATGTTTCAAGCATTTCTTTGTTTACACTTGGTTGTATATGAATTCATAAAGTTTTAACAATTTATCATTATTTCTCTTTTTGTGTGTGTGTTGTCTTACAAGGAGGAGAAGCTGCTTCAGAAACTGACGGAGAAAAAAAAAGAAAAAAAGAATGGGCATGTAACAGTTGCATGCCGCCATGTGTAGTTATGTGAGCCTTATTACTTGACTAAAAAACTTGAAATCACAAGGCACTTTAGTGAAGATCAGTGGACATTGTTTTTTCTTTTTCATTGTTTGGTTTGAGCCTTAAAGGCCTGCCATTTAACGTTATTTTTATATTTTTTATATAATGCTAAAGTATTTTAAAAACCAGGATGGTATCCTTTAAACTGACAATCAATATTTTAACTAAAGTTTAATCTGATCAATAATGTCTAATGTTATTAAATGGATGGAAATGTTGATTTTTGTGTAATTGATTATTTATGTTTGTACAGATTCTACATGCTATACTGTGAAAGATTTATCATACAGTGTGCCATCAACACATTCATGGTCACACCCAGGGGTGTTGCTGGGAGGGGCCCAGAACAATGTTCTCTGGGGGTCGGAATCCCCCCACCCCCCTGAACGTGATTTTGAGGAGGCCCAGAAAAAATCATTGCAGTGGACCCAGAAATCCTAGCGACACCACAGGTCACACCATTATGTTTTCTTCAGTGTTCATGCTCATGTTCTTTACATACTGATCAGAGGGGCACATCCTGTCCAAGTGTGCGGTTCTTGGCATGGACAAAGGTTAAAGGGGTCATATGATGCGATTTCAATTTTTCCTTTCTCTTTGGAGTTTTATGTAATGCTAAAGTATTTTAAAAACCAGGATGGTATCCTTTAAACTGACAATCAATATTTTATCTAAAGTTTAATCTGATCAATAATGTTGAACAATATTCTCTGGGGGTCGGAATCCCCCCACCCCCCTGAACGTGATTTTGAGGAGGCCCAGAAAAAATCATTGCAGTGGACCCAGAAATCCTAGCGACACCACAGGTCACACCATTATGTTTTCTTCAGTGTTCATGCTCATGTTCTTTACATACTGATCAGAGGGGCACATCCTGTCCAAGTGTGCGGTTCTTGGCATGGACAAAGGTTAAAGGGGTCATATGATGCGATTTCAATTTTTCCTTTCTCTTTGGAGTGTTACAAGCTCTTGGTACATAAAGAAGTTATTATAAAAAATAACAACATGACCCTCTAACACCAGCTCTCTCTATTCGATTTCTATGCTTTATTCTTTGTATTTTATATTTATTATTAAAAAAGACAAAAAAAACTTCCGGGAAACCATCCGGGACCTGTCACATCACTTACATATTGTTGCACTTTTGTTGGTTTGATTGCTTCTATTGTCCTCATTTGTAAGTCACTTTGGAAAAAGGTGTCTGCTAAATGACTAAATGCAGAACAGTTCAATTCTTTATAATAATATAATATAATATAATATAATATGAAACAATAAAAAACATCTCGGAAGTTGTTGCTTAGGGTGGCGTACTGTGTTCGGGCGATTCTCGCCACAGCTGAGTTGAGGCCATGCTCCTCTTCGAGCTCTTTGGCGTGGGCGTCCATTTTTTGTAGACGTGCCAGAACGTCCTGTCCACGGGTCTTGATGTCTCCTACGATGACATTGGCATCCTGCTTTACGTGAGTTGTACGAGTCGGTTCGCTAAGTATACGTGTGTTTTGGTCCCTGAGACGCTTCACCTCCAGGCGGATGAACTGAATCTCACGTCTAGTGTCTTGAGCCTCATCGAGCACAGAGTCCATCTCATCACTGTTGTCATAAATGACTGCCTGTTGGCTGAAATCCTCCAGGTCCACATTGCTGAAAGAGTCTGATTCCACCTCCTCTAGCTGGCTATTAGACTCTGAAATGGTCTGAAGATGATCCAATCTGTCCCTCATGATTGCTAGAGGGGAGAATGAACGGAAAAAGGACACTCAGTGCCACCAGAAGTGATAGGAAATATGTGATCTGATGTAGGCTGATGTAAACGATCTAAAACAATATAGCATATCGATAAGGTTCATATTTACATCATGTAGTCCTTGTTTTCAAGAATAAAATCATTTTCATTCCTTGTGTACCTTTTGAAACTGACTGTAAAAGGGGGAGATAATACTTCCTTATCAACCCTGAAAAAGTCACAAGTCTAACAAGTTCATCTGTGAAACTATTTCTGACTGGCGTCACTCACCAAACAAGTTTGAATGGATTGAACTGATAGTTCAGCTTTTGTTTCTTTACATATGGTGTTCTCTTCAATTGTTTTATGTGAAATGTATAAATAAGATATACAAAATATCCAACTTTATTCGAGACATTAAATTATTATTTTTTTTCAAGCATTTTGCATTTTTACACTGACAACATTCTAACTAATATATAGGGCCTATTATAGGAATAATTATCCATAAATCCGTAAAGTAGAAGTGATGAGCTGAAAAAAAGATGAAAAGAAAGAAAGAAACTCCTTGGCATATACTACAAAGTACATTACCTTGTCTTTTTGTCCAAAATTACGACCACTTCTGTTGATATGTCATCTCAAGGCTGCAGCTCCATCCTCACTGCACGGGTGCAGCTGTCATTTAATGGGTGGGGGGAAGGAATGCGCGTTCCAGGGCGTAACTTTGACGCCAAACCTGTTCGCTCTGTTTTGCGAAATGGGACCGAGTACGATGCCTTCTTCATGTTTTCCATGTCATATAATACAATTTAATAAAAATTTGTGTAGCCTAATATTGGGCCCTGACATGCAAAAATGTTTGCAAAGTCAAGGATTCAAAAGTTTGAGCAACTTCGAGCTTCAATTTAGTAAGTGTATTGACAGTGGAAATAGATTATAGTTGACAGAAAGTAGACGATTGAATGATTAAATTTAAATCTTCTTCACTAAAATGTAAAAAAAAACAAAAAAAACAGCAGAGGGCAAAACAGAAAACCAAATATTTTTCTTCTAATAAATATAATTAATTATTAATTGTAATAATTAATTAAATTATTAGCCTATAATAACCAACTGGTCGGAGAATGTGCATATTGGTTGTTTATACTAAATATGTTTTTTTTTTCTTGTTTTCTTTGCCTTTCTCAATTCTGTCTATTCTCTGTACGTTAAACAACACGACCACCGCAATTGCAGCAGACTTAAAATGTAGCTTACATCCATTAACAGTGACAAAAAAATGAGTTTGGTTTATTTACAATAAGAAAGAACGTTGAGTGCACGTGTTCTGTACTTCCCTCAGCACTTTTCGCAAATAAAATGTCTCATCTCTGCTGCCCTCTGTCGGACATACTGATCTCTTCACACCTGACTTGGGGGGTGGGGTCGGAGAATGTGCATATTGGTTGTTTATACTAAATATGTTTTGTTTTTTTCTTCTGTTTTCTTTGCCTTTCTCAATTCTGTCTATTCTCTGTACGTTAAACAACACGACCACCGCAATTGCAGCAGACTTAAAATGTAGCTTACATCCATTAACAGTGACAAAAAAATGAGTTTGGTTTATTTACAATAAGAAAGAACGTTGAGTGCACGTGTTCTGTACTTCCCTCAGCACTTTTCGCAAATAAAATGTCTCATCTCTGCTGCCCTCTGTCGGACATACTGATCTCTTCACACCTGACTTGGGGGGTGGGGTCTGTGTGTTACGTCATCACTCACATGCGGTGTTGGACGAGAAGAGGTGAAATTAGGTAAATGTGGTTTTTATTTTTCTTGGACTGATAATAGCGTGATTTTCGTAACCTGCAAAGCGGATTTTGCAAGGAATGCACAGAGAAGGTCATAATTTGAGGTAGGCCACAATGATAATGCTCAAAGCAGAGAAGGCTAATTGTTTTGCCAAGCATTAAACGTAGGTCAGGTTTAATTAAAAAGTTTAAAACCTTTTCTCCACTGATGCAATGCCTATATCAAGTCTGATTGTACGTATTTGGGATAATATTTGGTTGACGCTTTTTTATGTACTAAATCAATAGACTCTTTTTTTCTTTATTTATTGAGTATAAGTAAATACATAAAAATGCAGTTTTTGCCTTCTCTTCAAATTTTATAAAATGCATAATGATGAAGCAGAGTCTAATAGAAAACGTAATGAGAGTAAAACAAAGCTTTTATTTTTAAATGTGGACCTACAAACAAGTCTATCTTGTCTGACAGGTTTTTAGTGACACAAGTGTACTTTTCCACAAGTCGGACGTTTTGACGTGTGGGTTACGTCTAACAAGGTATATTTTGTTCAAGAATTGTTTTTTGTTGTTGTTGTTACCCATATATAGCCTACTGTATATTTTACCGGCTGCTGTTTATGTGTGTTCGCTTTGTTATGAATTTAGACCAAATCTGTTTTAAACTTTTCAGTCCAATATTTCAGTCATGAGGGACAGACTTGGACATCTCCAGGCAGTATCACTGTCTAATGGCACTGCAACAGAACATGAAACTGCCCAAGCTCTCTCTCCATCAGAAAACACAGACTATGATGACCCTCATCAGGACCCCAGCACCAACCCTGACATGGAAGCTGTCTTTGATGAGGCACAGGAGGCTCGTCGTCAGATTCAGTACATCCACCTGGAAGTAAAGCGTCTCAGGGAGCGAAACTCACATATTTTTACAGGCACGGTCTGCTCTAGTGCTTCTAATACCTGTGACTCTAATGCTATTGCAGCTGACATCAAAACACGTGGACAGGAGATGCTCGTGCACCTTCGCAAGATGGATTCCCACAGAAAAGAGTTAGAGGAAAAGTATGGCGTCAATTCACCCATGACGAGAATCGCCCGAACACAGTACGCCAGCATAAGCAACAGTTTCCGTGATGCCATGGTGGAGTACAATGACGCTGAGATGAGCCATAGGGAGTCCTGCAAGGCGTATATTCAACGGCAGATGGAGATTGTGGGCCGAGAGGTCACAGGTGACCAGATCGAAGAGATGTTGGAGAGCGGTCAGTGGAACGTCTTCAGTGAGAACATGGTTTCAGAAGGTAAAACGGCACGGTCTGCACTCATCCAGATCGAGAGCCGACATACAGAACTGCTACAGCTAGAGAGACGCATTCAGAGCCTTCATGAGGTTTTTCTGGATGTGGCCATGTTGGTAGAAGAGCAGAGTTCAATGATAGACTACATTCACACCAATGTTCAGTCAACTGAGGTGGAGGTCAGGGATGTCCTTGTGAAGCTGGAGCGAGCCAAGAGACATGACAGGAACAATCCGTTTAAGAAAATGTTCTTCTGGAAACAATGACATGGGCACAGATATCACAATGTCAAAAATACATACTAAGTGATTCAGTTTTTTTTGTTTATGTTAGTTTTTATATTCCTATTCCTTATTTAGGCAAATTTATATTCATCTTCTGAAGAAAAATAAACACACATCGCTGAAATAAATCTATCAGTGTTATAAATATTTCAGTAGTTTGTGGGGTTTTTTGACACCAGAATTATCTTAAATACTTTATTTTGTTTATTATAAACATGCATTTTTAAAGCTTGCAGTTTTGGCAAATAACTCATTTTGTGCCTTTGGAGATTTGGAAATCCTTTTTTTCTGTGGTTTGCACTTCATCAAGTGTTTATTCTTATATAAAATGTATCTTGTCAATATAACTACATTTTTAAGTTAGGTATTGGATGATGGTTAGTTGTAATGGACCCCAACTATTTCATGTGTACACAAATCTTTTATCAGCTGTATCTCATTTGGTGTGCATTCATTCAAAGTTTTGTAGCATATGTCATAAATTAGAGTGTAATTTTGTTACCCTAATTAGATCCCATGTGCCTACCTCGTGTGAAACGTGATGACCCCTGGTCACAACTATTAAAATAACACATGCCAGGATACCAAAAACCTTTCTGACGTTGGTAAAAAAAAAAAAGTTGCTAAAGTGACGTTGCTATATAATACTTTGTTAAAATGTTGTTCCTGTGACAACTGTGTATGGTGATGCATAAAAAACATGGAATAAACAGGAAGATACCTATTCACATATACACTTCCGTTCAAAGGTTTGGGGTCAGTAAGACTTATTTTTGAAAGAAATTAATACTTTTATTAAGCAATGATGCATTCAATTAATCAAAGGTAACAGTAAACACAAATAATTGTTTAAAAGATTTTATTTCCAATAAATGCTAATTTTATTTTTATTTATTAATTTTTTTTACTTTATACTTAACAAAAAATATTTAAAAAATTATCACGGTTTCCACAAAACATTAAGCAGCACAACTGCTTTCTACATTGATAAGAAATGTTTCTTGAGCAGCAAATCAGCATATTAAAATGATTTTTGAAAGATCATGTGACACTTTAGACCTGTGTAATTGCTGATGAAAATTCATCTTTTCAATCTCAGGAAAAAATACGTCTGGGTAACACTTTATTTTAAGGTGTCCTTGTTATACATGTTACATGTTCTTGCTATTATAATAACAATTAATTATGCATAATTACATGCACGTAACCCTAAACCAAACCCTAACCATATAGTAAGTACATGTAGTTCATTAATATTACTCAGTACTTAAATGTATAATTACACCGTAACAAAGACACCTTAAAATAAAGTGTAACCTACATTTGAAAATATATAAAATAGAAAACAGGTGTTTTAAATTGTAAGACTCCAAACTTTTGAATGGTAATGTACAGGCTGCTGTAGACTCAAACTTGCAAACACAAAGCTCATGACATGAATGTGGCTGCTGGATCTGGATAGGTCAATACATTTGTAAAGAAAGAGAAAATAAGGTTACGAAAATAGTTGCCCAACGCCATGTGAGTCATTCGTCTTGCTCAGACTTGTAATAATTATTCAGACGTTTCCTCCTTGGCTGCAGCGCGCGCGTTCGCGCCGTCGCTCTGTCTGGCACGCGCTAGTCCAGCTCTGCTCGAGATCACCTGAGCATCAGACAAGACAATCTCTGCTTAAACCTCAGACCCGGTGGACGTTTTCAAGGGGAAAGATGAGACTGTCGGTCGCTTTTCGCCATGCACATCTTAGCCACGCCAGCGTTCGACGATCACGAGCGGGTGTCAAAGTATTAAACTCGGAGAACAGACGCATATCCGATAATAGCGCGGTTTCTTATCCATGGGTTCGGGAAGCTAGTTCGACCAGCGGTACAAGTGAAACGGTAACGAGTTACTTTATACTTAACAAAAAATATTTTAAAAATTATCACGGTTTCCACAAAACATTAAGCAGCACAACTGCTTTCTACATTGATAATAAGAAATGTTTCTTGAGCAGCAAATCAGCATATTAAAATGATTTTTGAAAGATCATGTGACACTTTAGACCTGTGTAATTGCTGATGAAAATTCATCTTTTCAATCTCAGGAAAAAATACGTCTGGGTAACACTTTATTTTAAGGTGTCCTTGTTATACATGTTACATGTTCTTGCTATTATAATAACAATTAATTATGCATAATTACATGCACGTAACCCTAAACCAAACCCTAACCATATAGTAAGTACATGTAGTTCATTAATATTACTCAGTACTTAAATGTATAATTACACCGTAACAAAGACACCTTAAAATAAAG